ACAGGTAAACCCACCTCGACCAGTCCTGCCGAAATGCATCCACTGCAACGGCTCCGCAGTTAAGGAAGGGCACCACATATATCGGGAGATGCCGGGACCACACCAACGCAAAAAGGTCCACCTCATTGGTCCTGTACGCCCGCCAGAGCCAACTGAAGGAGTAGGCATCAACTATCCATTCCGTGGACAAGGGAATGAACTGCAACAGGCCGTCCGCCAGGACATTGTACCGTTCACATTCGGGAAGTATCCAGAGAGCTAAACCCCGAGAATCTAGCAGATGAATCGCTCGAAGCGCACAACTGCTCGAGCCATCAACAAGTGACCCAAGGCCCCTCCAGAAACAGCTGAAGGCGGAACTGCAGCCACAGCAATGCTGCAGGAGGGAGAGACGGAAGTGGTCCAAGAGTCCCACACGAGGCCCAGCCAGGTCCAAACCTGGGACAGAACCAGATAGGACTTCCTCCAGTTCACCAGGAACCCGAACCTGGTGAGCTGGGAAAGAATCAAACCCCTGGCGAGCAGGCAAGTAGACCGCATGGGAGCCCACACCAGCCAGTCATCGATGTAGGCCAAAACCTGAACCCCTAGTAGACACAGACGGGCCACCACGACCCGGATAAGAAGCGTGAAAATGCGAGGTGCCAGATTCAAGTTAAACAGAGCGCAACAAAAGCGGTAAGCATGCCGCCCCACGAAGAAACCTAGCCAATCCCTGAACCCCGGATGAATTGGTATGTGGCAATACGCATCCCAGAGGTCCAGAAACACTATCCAAAAGCACGGCCAAATTGGTACAAAGTGGTCTCTGAAAGGTGAGGCAAGGAATCCAACAGTTCAGACGGGACAAGTCCAGAAGGAAACAAAGATCCACACAGTCCCGTTTCGGTACTGGAAGCAGGCAGGAAACCCACCTGAGGGATGAAGTCGGTTCGACCACACCCAAGCACACCCACTCCAGGATGACCCAATGGAGCAAAAGGAAAGAAGGCTGCCTCACTAGCCCGAAACCCCCCCCCCTCCATAGGAGGAGGAGCTGCCCAACGCCACCACAGGCCCGAGGACACGACTCAAAACGCCCACGAAGCGTGGGACCAAGTGTGGGCAAACAGAGCGAGCCTCCCCACCAGCGCCCCGTCAACAGGGTGAACCGTGAAAGGGCCAATGCCCCCGTACTAGAGGCCGGTCTACGAGCAGAGGGAGCATTGCGCTAACCAGACGACGCCAGTACAGGAGACGGCACTGTCTCAGAAATTGGCACCAACGGCCCACTTCGACTAGAAGAACCCCAAGTCCTGGCACGACCCTTCTGAGAGGCCTGAGAACAGCCACCCCGAATGACCAACAAATCCGACAGAGGACGGCAACTAGACGAGGCTGCCTGCAGAAACTGAGTCACAGCATTCTCAGCAAACAACAATGGACCAAAGAGAGCAAAGACAACCTGACGATACGCGAGGCAAGAGGCAAAGAACAGAGACACCACCTCCCGGAGGATCAGTACAAACAGCTTCAATAGAGTAGCCAATGCCCTGGCTGAAAAGGCCAGCACCTGAGACAAAGGCCCGGCACTCAATGCCTCCACGTCCTCCCTAAGCCAGTCCGAGGACAAATCGAGAAGGAAAAGGAAGTGCATGACTGAGGCCAAATGCCCGCGGGCGTGAAAGTTCTCAGCAGCCAAAGTAGCCAAAAGAGCGGGGACCTGCAGATGCAGCTGCTAAAGACCAACATCCTGTGTTTCCTCGGGAACCAATGCGAGACCTTTACTAAAAGGCACGCACTGAGGTGCTCAAAATTGGCCCCCCCCCCCTTCCCCAGGGAAACCTGCAGAATGGCAGTATCCTTTCCCCCCATTCAAGCGTGCGGGTCTGACAAAACCCATGCCACACTCCCTGATAAAAAAAAAAGAGGGCAGTCTGCCAGCCAGGAAGACCCTGAAAACTCATAACTCACCCAGTACCTCAAGAACGGTACTCAAATGAGGACAGATCCAGCACAGAGACATAATCCAGGTCTTGTATGAGGTAAGCTGCATGAGCCTCCCCAAACCTCCTTAGGCGGGACACAAAAAGCAGAAAACCTCCAGAAAGGAGCTAAGGAACCCAAGGGAACTCTGAACCGAACCTGGGGGAGGACCCGACCCCAAAGCATGACAGAGGCAAAAAGAGTGATCATCGGGTAGCAGAGACAGTCTGCAGCTATTGAACTCGCACTCCTGATGGGAGGCTCGATGGGCTGATCCATTTAGCAATAGCAGGCTTGACAGGCTGATCCATAACAGACCATACCAGAGAACCACAGGGGATTGTGGTTCTCTGGCCCGGGACCCATTTTACAGTTTCATTTTCCCTGAATGCTCCAGTTGTCTGTAAAGCTTTGCTGACTTTCTGGAGGCTTTTTTCAGTGGGGTGGTGAAATGTCACCCACTCCCTGTTGCCTCTGTAGGGTGGCAGGTTCTGACTCTGGTCCCCAGTAGGCCAAACACAACTTTGACAACTGATGTGACCTTTTAGCATGGAGTAATCTTAACAAGAGAGCTTTCCTCCTGGTGGCTTTCAGGAAGCCACCAGGAGGAATCCTTCTAGAAAATAAATATAGAAGCTTACACCGATTACATAGACTGCTGTAAACATACAGTATTTAAACATCTGATGAGATGTTACACACTGTCTTCCTACTAAACCACTTTCAAAGTTTTCTCACTAACGGTATTTTCCAGTTATCTTTGCTGTTACAGTATTGAAGAATAATTTTATTGCATACAAAAATTACCCTACTATACAAATTTTCATGGTTTTTTCATAAGCACTTAATTATTATAGGCTTATATGCAGGCTCTATAATTTATATCACTTACATAAGAAATATGGGATGAATACTTTTAGTATACTTACACTTCGTCATCTAATGCTGATTTGCATGGAGAAAGGAAAATTTTAACTTTAATAATGGCTTAAATATAAATTATATAAAATATTAAAAGATATAGGAAACTACTGTACATGCATTTATTTGGTTATAATACAGTAAATCATAATATAAAAAAAAGTTAATAAACTGCAAGAAAGAGGAGAGCATACAAAGATGGTTTGGGTATGTTGACTGGAATAACGTTGTTTCCAACAAAAGATCTGCCTTGTCCGGAGTGACAGTAAGATAGCCGAGGGCTATCTCTGAAAGGCAGAGCTCGGCTCGTGGTTCCCCTTGTATACCCCGGGCAGTTGTACTGCACTTTGGGATATAGAGGATCCTCGCTCTACATCGAGGATTCACCTCGGAAGACCAGATTCTACAGGCTTGTCTTGGCCATGGGGGAGGGGGGGTGACTTGACTGACAACTGTATCTCCCCCCCCCCCCCCCCCCCCCCCCCCCGCCTTTCTAGCCAATTGCTACTCGGAGACCTCGGCGAGTTTGGATGTGAGGTGATGTATTTTGTGTTCCTAAATTATATGCTTTAAAATGTTAGTAGTAGTCAGCCATTGTGGTCTCAATTTCCTGCGTAGTGACTGATTCTTTATTTGGGTTGATATAGTAAAGTCAAGTAAAGCAATTGTCCATCCATATTATTGAATCATGAGTATATATAATAGATAATGAATAATCTTTTTAGTTACAGTATTTTTAATTGTCTTTAAATGTGGTAACCTAAGATCTTGGATTCACTTCAAGACTTATGCAAAGTGAAAGCTAGAGTGAAGATTACTTCACTAGAAGATTGTCCACTCTGAAGATTACTTACTCAAGTTTCAGACTTGGTAATTAACTTTTTCCGATCCTCATGCTTGCAGTTGTTCCCTGTTAACATCAATTATAATAACTGTTGGAAAGAAAAAGAGTTTCCATTCTTTGTCTTGTAAATTTATGAATGGATGGTGGCAGCACTACCTCTATCTGCTCTGAGACCCTAACTCTTCCTATTCATTATACTTGGCAATTCTACCTCCTTCGTTCTCTCTTCCCATCTTCTATCTCTCTACACTTTATCTATCATGTTTTCTCCTCCTCCACCATCCTTCCTCTTCCTAAAGCACTCTTCCTCCCCCTTCTTTCCTTTTTCCTATTCATTACAATTCCCTCTAAGATTATGAGGGCAAGTTTCCTCAACCTGTCCTCATAGCTGAGGTCTCAATTCTGGTACTAATCAATGCAAACACCTGAACTTTCTCAAGTTTTTGTTAATGCTTCACAAGGTGTGGGTTCCATGCTGTTACTGCATATTCAAGAAATGGCCTAATATATGCAGTGTATATGAAGACTTGAAAGCCTCCTTGTTTAGACTCGTAAGTGATGTTCTTATGTTTGCTAACTTCCCATATGCTGCTGATATTATCCTGTTCACATAAGCTTTTGGTGTTAATGTTGGGATTACGTCTACTCCCAGGTCTTCTCTGTTACTGTTTCATGTAATTTCCTTCCCCTTATGGTGCATATAAATAAGGGTCACCCATCTTCTTTACGTGGTGAAGGAGTGGAGCTAACTAGCAGCTAGGTCTAGACAGCAAGTGTGTGTGTGTACATAGCTTGAATCAGGGTAGCAAATGTTGTCCAACTAATTGCTTCGGTGCACTTTACACGTCTGGCAGCTTTCCATTGGTATTGTGGTGTTCTTGTATTCCTAGACTTCCCTATGTCTCTACTGAGGGGGCCAGATTCTAGTCTAGCAGGCACTCATGACTCATTAAGAAACTCATGTGGTACCTAAAGTTTGAAGGATTTTAAGTGGGTAGTTCAGAGATACCTTGGGGGGGGACCCTCCCAGAAATTGACAAAACAAAATGACATAAAATGCAACTTGAGACAACAGTGAATATAACTTGATCACAAACCATTATCTTCCTAATGCTGTGATCTTCATAAATATATTAGTAACTTTCCATATTTATAAAACCATTGGAAACTGAATGTTTTGAAACTCTTAAAGTATTTATAATTAAATAAACCATACAAAATACATGACTTATATTAGGTCAATATATGTATGTGAAACAAGATGGAATACCTGCAAAGTTTTGAGCCAGTACGGTTGTAGAAGTCATGAATATCTTGGAGTGTATGGAGTGTCCTATCAGGGCACTGTTTAACACACACTTTCAGGGATACACTTAAATCCCTCACATCAAAAAACATAACATACCTGGAGAAAAACAGCAAAATATAGTTTCAACTGAAACCTAATTTTATTATCACCTACGACATTTGAGCAAAATTTCATGATAATGCAGAAAATTCTTTAGATTTATTGATAACCAGCCTCTAGAATAAGTGTATACAAATATTGTGTATTACAGGATTCCTTTTTGGATTTTTATGCTCCTCAGTAGGTGACTAAGGGAAGGAGAGGGAACTATGAGGAGAAAGCAAGAATCTATTACGACTATATAACACTTAGAAGGGATTTGGAATGGGACAAGTGGAAGGAATGTATGGAGTCGTGTTCTTTAACCTTCAATTAATCTGACATACATATTATTTACCTCCAGAATTATTCAGTAGCAACAAACTACTACACCTACATCCTTAATAGCTGAAAGCTTTATAAACTCTCATCCTAATAATAAGAAAAAGAATAAAAAAATGCAAAAAATGAATCGGCCACTTAATTACTTGTAGTCACTGACATCGTAGCCGGAGAATATTAGCAAGCTGTCATTGTGATCTTTTATGTCTGCGTTGTCACTTCCGCACACGTTCCCAAAACTGTCATATCCGTTCACTAATCGAAGAGGGTTCCCAAAAACAAGAGCAAAGGCGGCAACAAATATCTGGAAAAAGAAGATAAAAAAACAATTTCAAGTTTAACTGATGGGGGTTTAAAAATAAGAGGCCTACAATACTTCAAATCAATTTAAGAGAGAACAATAAGACTGCTAAATTACAAATTGCCAAATACTGTACCACATTAGAAAGAAATTTTATGAATCTTGTGGTTAAAAACTGAAAATCAATGGGGCAGTGTTCAGAAAGTGATGAGCATCATGAATAAATACTTCTTGTCCTCTCCAAACGGGTCGCATCTTTAACATAGTAACATTCAACATTATGCCAAGTGTTCTGCATTATACAAGAGCCATCAGTGAAAGCTGTGTTTATCACTCCTCTAATGTTAAGCACCTGTTTATTATCACTTCAACATTGGTTTGGAAAGGAACAACCCTTTTTAACAGATTCTCTAATAATTGTAAATACAAGACCCCAAAACTGCATGTGCACCTGTTATTTATCAAGTGATTGGTTTGAAAACCTCTTTCTACTTTGCCATCTGACTGAGGACAGGCTTTCCTTTACAGCCTGTCCTCAGATATATATACTAATGTTACTTGTTAAGACAAGAACAATATGACAAGACATGCTGCTAATAAGTCCCTATACAATATATATATATATATATATATATATATATATATATATAATCTCTCTATCTTGTAGGTTGGATTTTCTAATTACAAAAACAAAAGCGTCAAGTTAATAAGAAGAGCATCTTTCTGTGCAGGATCATTCCTCTACATTGTAAGATAAGATCCATCCTGCCTACAAAACAGGATCACAAACAGCCAGGATAGCATACTATCCTATGCTATCCAGGCCGGAGGTCCATTCAGCCACTGAGGCGGCGCTGGCTGAATGGACAGCACGCTAGATACGTAGTCCTGTGGACCAGGGTTCAATTCCCGGGGCCGGAGAGAAACAAAATGGGCAGAGTTTCTTTTACCCTGATGCCCCCTGTTACCTAGCAGTAAATAGGTACCTGGGAGTTAGACCGCTGTTATTGGCGGCTTCCTGGGTGTGTGTGTGTGTGTGTGTGTGTGTGTGTGTGTGTGTGATTACCTAAGTAAATACCTAAGTGTAGTTAAAGGATGAGAGCTATGCTCGTGGTGTCACATCTCCTCAGCACTCTTTATTATATAAGAGCATGTGTGTGTGTGTGTGTGTGTAGGAAAAAAAATAGTAGTAACAGTTGATTGGCAGTTGAGAGGCGGGCAAAAAAAGCAGAGCTCAACCCCTGCAAGCACAACTAGGTGAATACTGGTACTGGTGCCACAGAAAGCTTTGCAAGCAGCCACTGTAAGATTAGTATAGGTGCTAGTGAGTCATTGGAGACCATTTAAACCAGAGGATATAAAAATTTCATGCAAATCCCAGAGCCCTTCCAAACCTTCCCATACTATCAGTCACAGATTCAACATGACTTTAGAGTGGGAAGATCCTACATTTCACAATTATTCAACCACTATGACAATATTATAGAAATATTAAAAACAAACCAAAATGCAGATACTATGTCATGTACACAGTATCTGCATTTTTGGTTTGTTTTGCAAAGATATTTTGCAGAGGTATTTTATAAATGTGATCCTGGAATAATAGGCCATAAAATGAGGTCCACAGATGAGGAAAATCACAGGAATGAGGCAAAGCAGAGTGACGGATATTTAATATCTTGTCAAATAGAATACAAAGAGTAAGAGTCGACCGAACAAAATCAAGTGCGAACATAGTGAAAAGCTCCATACCCAAAGGTACTGTCCTTGCACCACTACTTTTACTCACTCATATTAAATAATTATAAAAATTCTGATACGATATAGACAAAAATGCAGGGTACAGCTTCATATTCTTTGCAAACAACACCAATTCAACATGAAAATTAGCTTGATAGAAGACACAAAAAAATATTTCTTCGACTTCAATATGCATTAGTCTTCCACTGGGTAACTGAAAAAACATGATTTTTAATTGATAAATTCCAGATATTGTACTTAAATGGAATACAGAAACAAGATGCAATCAGATATCATCATAGAAGAAAAATGACATGTAGGGGTGGGTGTAATGTCACTCTGGCTATTTGATGAATACACATGTTAAGGTTAGTAAGAAAGGTAAAGGCAAGAACACCTGGAGGGGAAGTTGGCTGTGATGATGATAATTTGTGTTACTGACAAGATTGTATGCAGGTGATGCAGGTTCGCTGCTAGGAATGAGGGGGGAATTTCAAAAGATTGTGAATGACCTTCTCTTCACACACACACTGTCAAGCTCAATGTGATATGGCCATATTAGTTGGATGCCTGATGTACTGTTTAACAAGAAGGGTGTACTAGGAGAAAACCCACTAGGACCATAGGTGAGCGCGAACCTATGACCCCGGCATTGCCAGTCACGTACTCTACCACTAGGCCACCAATGACTTATTTAAAAGTCATACAACCGGATTTCTACCGAAATCACAAAGTCTGGAGCCATTCCAAGTTTTTACGTATGACCAACAAGCACTCGGGTGGAAGGGCAAAGTGGTCCTACACCTTACATCCCAACTTCAGAAACACATATATATCATGTTAATGTGATTTCTATCAGTGAGAAAATTTTATAGTCCTAGTAGACTTTCTCATTGATATATATCACATTAATGTGATTACTGTGTGTTAGGGTGTACTAAGGTAAAGTATGTGCATCATATGATAGAGGCAGATAAACCAGTGCAGTTTCCTGGAAGGGAAAAGTGGATAACACACAAAGGTTAAAGGAACAAGTTAGATAGAGCTTAAAAAAGAGTGAAATATTTGTTTTTGCAGAGCCTCCTGGAGTAACTTCTGCTGTGACCACCACCAGATTGGCACCTCCCAAGAGGAAGAAAGATGTCAGAGTTATAATACATGAGATTCTTAAAAATATACGAGAGCCTAAGAACAGCATAATTTTAACCATTAAATAACCGTATTATACTCGGACTACTGACCATAAGTACTAGAAAGAGGAAGAAAATGATAAGCCACAAGACATCTGTAGGTCGGCGCTCCTCCTCCTTGGAGGGTCCCCCACTGTCACCACAACAGCCCATCTTCTCCTGGCCAACACCTGTAACAGTGAGAACATCAAATGGCAAGAACATGGCACTTATCAAAAGCATCTTCAAATATATATGGTGCATACTGAAATTTTGAATTACCATGAGAAAATACTAATGTATGTGACTGGGTCAAACTCACAATAGAATCGAGCGAGATGCATTCCGAGAAGAAGTTCTTAAGTTTGCCGTTTGTAACTCGGTACCAGATTTCTCATAGGTACTGTACAATGCTATAAATGGGGGATACATTCTTGGACCACCAAAAATCATCATACAGTATATTATTTGTCGCAAAAATTTGGATATTATGAGAAACACTTTTTTATTTACCATGAACAATGGCACTGTAATGCTTGTCTGATTTGCTGATTTTTAAGACAAAAAAGATGTAAAAAACAAAAAAGGATGTAGTAAAAGGTAATGATGTACATGACAGCACTGTTTGTCATGTGTGAACTTCAGAACTGGTCTGTATAGTAGTACCCATGGTAGAGAATAAGTCATAATAATGTGGCTGAAATGAAATAACCCATACCACACACATGAAATGAAATGAATGTGACAAGGTTGTAACAATTACTGTACATAGGTTGGTCTCTCAACTCTCAACACAAACCCGTGCATTGGGAATGGGCTAGAGAGCGAGTCCTCTTTCCGCAGGTAGTTTAACCAGGTAAATGATTGTTACCACATATCCCTGCCTCCCCATCTTGCTGTCCAGGGTTATCTGAAAGGGGAGTAGAAGAGGATGGAGGGGACCAGAAGTTTTGGGCTGGTGGATCATTTCAGTCTTCACCTCATTTGGTCAACAGGTTCAAGAGCTAACAGCTGGATTCTGCAGGCATGAAGAGCAAATGGAAGGGGTAACCAGTGACTGGGTCAACCTAAGCATGTGTGTCGGCATGTTTATCGTGTCAGTATGTTTCACATAATGTTACCACTTGTTTCCCCTGTGTCCCCCAAGTGGCATTGTGTGTGTCAAAAGTGGCATTACATGTAGTAGATGTGATTGAGAAAATTAGGTTGGTAGTCTGTACATTAGACAAACTGATAGAAAGACAGGGTACAAAAGCTAACACCTTAATCCTGCAGGCACATATATTAAATAGATGTGGTACCCAGTAACTGGGTCAACCCAGACGTGTGTGTTGGCAAGTAAATCATGTCAGTAGGTACTGAATCTCTTGTTTCAGTATGTGTCCCAAGTGGCATTGTGTCCCCCAAGTAGCATTATGAGTCACAACTGGCATAAAAGATCCTGAGTGGCATTCACATGTGGTGTCACGTGTGTCAGCGTATGTCACATGCATCAGCATGTCAGAATTGATGTTAATGTACTGTTAGAAAAGTACATATTTTTTCTACCACTTTGCAAGGTCTTGAAGAAGGCAGGCATGAATAAATTGACAAGGGCTGTGATGAAGGTTCAAGCCTATGTCCGGGATGATCCCAGATGCGCCTTAGTCGACTGCGCCATGACATGGTTAAAAGAATTGCAACCTGGATTGCTACTGCCCTCATTAGGCTCCCGCAGCTTCTCCTAAGCACAAACCGGGGTTCTACACAATTCTCCCATGCACCTGGGGACGTCTGGTGATAGTCCCAGACGTAGGTTCGAACCCTCATCACGGCTCTTGTGGATTTGTTCATTTGATATATCACACTGTTGTGATTTCTGTGTGTAAGGCAGGCATGTTCAGGAAAAAGATAACCCGAAGTGTTGAATTGAAGAAAGGGAGAACTTGCTCCACAAGACAGTCTTAAAGAAACTGAAAGTGGGTTCTTGCAACATTTGGGGAATAGCATAGAAAGACCCATAGACATGAAAAGGCTGTTTGAAAGAAGGTAGAGAATCAAAGAAATTAAACAAAGACATTTAACTGTGGGATTCATATGTAGATGGTGTCACAATTATGTAGCTGACGATATAATAGCCAAACCACACATCAGAAAATAAAGAATCGATGACATTGCAGTCTTTATCTCTTCCTCTCTTTTTTCCATTACACAACTTGATAATGGTCCAGGACAGATCAAAACATTGTCATTTCTACATTTTAGGATATGTGGTTTGGGTATCACATGTTGGGCATGTGATACCCAAAGCCTACAAGAATCAAGATGCAAAGTAGGGTGAGACTTCTTGCCTCCAACCTCAGACAGAAATTTTAATGTATAAAAATTATGTTGTACTTAAAGTTATGTAATTGTGATGTTTCATGTTAATTGTGTGTACTGTTATGTTAAAGGATAGGATGCAGACTTCTGCATTGTATTTATATACCTGTGCTGTTAACAACCATATTGAATTGCAGACAATGAGTCACAATAATATGGCTGAAGATATGATATCCAAATCACACACCAGAAGATGAAGAAACAAAGACATTTTGGTCGGTCCTGGATCACGACTTGATAGTGGTCCAGGACGGACCAAAACATCATCGTCTCCTCGTCTTCTGATGTGTGGTTTGGTCATCAGAATGAATTATTGGCCATACATTGTGAGTGTTGCATCACTCGAGACAATTCACTCATATGCACAGAACCTAAGACACCCCAAAACACTAGGTGTAAATCTCTTCCAAGATTTCCTCTGATCACTCATTGACAGCATTCTGAGATAATAAAGAGACAGCAGCATGTAGGATAGATACTCTCAGGTACTCGCTACTTTATACTCGGATATTATTTCACATTCTGAACTAGATTTATTCCTTGTTTTAGACTTTATTTTATTTTTATTTATTTATTTATTTATTTATATATATACAAGAAGGTACATTGGGTTTGTGAGAATACATTGGATAGTACAGTATTTACATTCTTGTAAAGCCACTAGTACGCACAGCGTTTCGGGCAGGTCCTTAATCTAGCAGATAATTTTAAGTAGGTAATTTCAATCAGAATTGATAAATGATAAAGATACATTACAAGAGAAAAATGAGATGAGAGAGATAAGTAGGTATATTAAAGCACATTGTTATATTAAAGCTCTGATTAATTACATTGACAGCTTGATTAGTAATTTAAACAAGGTTAATAGACACCATACAGCAGAATGACAGCACATATAAGACAGCAATGATCACAATGGTAAACATGTTCAGATTGGGTACATAAAGATTGGGAGACTGGGTAGCAAAAGATACAGATAAACAAGATTTATAAACACCATACAACAGATTGGCAGCACATATAAGAAAACAGCAATGATCACAATGGTAAAGATGTTCAAATTGGGAACATAAAGGTTGGGAGATTGGGTAGCAATTGATACAGTGCAATTCTGTACTTCTGTAATTTCAATGTACTTCCTCGTACTGTACTTTACATGTACATTTGCATGTACTTCTGTAATTTCAATACTTCTAATTCTGTAATTCTGTACAGTGCAATATATACTTCAGATATATTTAAAATATTTTAATGTTTAAACATAATCATTTTGATTTTTGTAAGTACATATCTTGAACTCTATTATTGAGCATTGAAGGGTTGCAGTTAACATTTTCAATTTAAAGGCTTCACCTAGTGTAAATACTGTACAATTGAATCATAAATAAAATTTGAAAAAAAAAAAAAATTTTACTGTGTTCGTCCTCCATCTCCTTGTTCCTCACCACTGGCCGTTGGATGAATTGTGAGGGCTGTCATCACTGTCAGCACTATTCATAAAGTCCATCCTGACAAGTGTTCGAGATGTCTGCTATGACATTGGCCTTTCCAGATACAAATTGCATCATACGCATTTGATTCACCAACAGACTTTAAACATACCAAGCCAAACACAAATTAGTATAACCCAACCCAACCTAAACTACCTCCAAACCCAACTTACCCAACCCAACCAACCCCAAATCAACTTAACCCAACTCAACCAAACCTAAGCTATAACTGACTAACCTAACAACACACATGGTTTTAACAATTGGGAAACAAACTTTGTGAAAATGCTTGTGTATAACTGGACCAGACCCAGAAATATGACCGAAGCATATAAAAATAAGAACATAAGAATCGAGGAAATTGCAGATGGCCTATTAGCCCAAGCACAGCAGCTCCTATTTATATCCACCCCAAACTCATTCATATCTATGTCTAACCTGTGCTTGAAAAAAATAAAGAGATCAACCTCAATACCTGAAGGTTTCCATCTGTAGCATTGAATGGCTCTTTGGGGCTGTAAGCCTACCATTTGAGGTTCCTTGGCATATTTTTATTTTTTTTTGTATTATTTATATACAGTATATATGAGTTCTTACATTCTTGTACAGTCACTAGTACACATAGCATTTCGGACAGGTCCTTAATTCTATGTTCCCTGGAATATGACCCTGCGAAAAATCGTTTAACAACCAGGTACCTATTTTACTGTAGAGTTAAACAGAGGTTACAGTTAAGGATTTGCGCCCAGTAAATCCTCCCCGGCCAGGATACGAACTCGGGACAAAGAGCTTGCGAAACGCCAGGCAAGTGTTTTACCACTACACCACGGGGACGGGGGATATATTGAAATATTGAGTTTCCTTTGAGTTTAAATAATACAAAGTCAATGCTTTAGTCATTTATGGACCTGGGCAAGCGGATGATGCAGTTCCTCACTAATAAATTACATACAGTATTTACTTTATATAAAAGATGGTACACTGGGTTGTGAGAGAACATAGCATTGGTGTCCTAACAATCTTGCAAAGCAACTAACTTATTTATTTGTTTATATATATATAAACAAGAAGGTACATTGGGTTTATGAGAGTACAGAGCATTTGATGCTTTTACATTCTTGTAAAGGCACTAACACACACAGCGTTTTGGGAAGGTCCTTAATCAAACAGATAATTTTAAATAGGTAATTTATAGCAAAATTGAGAAATGCTTAACAGGTACATTGTAAGAAATTTGATGAAGATTAGTTGGGACATTAAAGTAAAATTTAAGGACTATCAACATGTACAGTGCAGCATAATTTGATGATTATTTCTAGGTACATTGTAGTCAAATTTGCAATCAACATAACAGCCATGATCTAAGATAGCAGTGATTACAATGGTAGAAGTTGTATGTCTTAGGCACATATATTTGAAGAGTGCACAAGATACCGTGAGTTTAAATAAAGCTTCATGAGAAACTCGTACAGCGTTACGAGCAGGGCCTTAATCAAGCGGTAAATAGAAATATTACTGCTTCCAAACTGCTTATTGGTCGCTAACCTGTGAACTTTTAACACTGCATCAGTAACGAGGCAGTGAGTGCTGCTGGAGTGTGTTGAGAGTGTGTTGAGTGCTGCTGGAGTGTGTTGAGTGCTGCTGTAGTGTGTTGAGTGTGTGTTGAGTGCTGCTGGAGTGTGTTGAGAGTGTGTTGAGAGCTGCAGCGGTGGTGGTGTTGTCTCGATAACAAGGCGACGCCCGCCACTGTTTGTTTACAACTCTGTTGGTGGCGGGGGTGACGCCGGTGGTGGGTGGCGGGGGTGACGCCGGTGGTGGGTGGCGGGGGTGACGCCGGTGGTGGGTGGCGGGGGGGTGACGCCGGTGGTGGGTGGCGGGGGTGACGCCAGTGGTGGGTGGCGGGGGGGTGACGCTGGTGGTGGGTGGCGGGGGGGTGACGCTGGTGGTGGGTGGCGGGGGGGTGACGCTGGTGGTGGGTGGCGGGGGGTGACGCTGGTGGTGGGTGGCGGGGGGTGACGCTGGTGGTGGGTGGCGGGGGGTGACGCTGGTGGTGGGTGGCGGGGGGTGACGCTGGTGGTGGGTGGCGGGGGGTGACGCTGGTGGTGGGTGGCGGGGGGTGACGCTGGTGGTGGGTGGCGGGGGGTGACGCTGGTGGTCGGTGGCGGGGGCGACGCCGGTGGTGGGTGGCGGGGGGGGTGACGCCGGTGGTGGGTGGCGGGGGGTGACGCCGGTGTGGGTGGCGGGGGGTGACGCTGGTGGTCGGTGGCGGGGGCGACGCCGGTGGTGGGTGGCGGGGGTGACGCCGGTGGTGGGTGGCGGGGGTGACGCCGGTGTGGGTGGAGGCGGCGGGGGTGACGCCTATATTCACCTAGTTGTGCTTGCGGGGGTTATAAGCTCTGCTCTTTCGGCCCGGCTCTCAACTGTTAATCAACTGTTTCTATTATTTCTTTCACACCATACACACACCTCAGGAAGCAGCCCGTGACAGCTGACTAACTCGCAGGTACCTATTTACTGCTAGGTAACAGGGGCGTAGTGAAAGAAACTCTGCCCGTCGTTTTCGCCGGCGCCCCGGATCGAACCCGGGACCACAGGATCACGTGTACAGCTTGCTGTCCGCTCGGCCACCGGCTCCAATGGCGGGTGTCGGTGGGTGGGTGGGTGTGTGTGTGGGTGGCGGGAGTTAGGGGGTGATGCCGGTGCATGGAGACGGCTGGGGTGATGTCGGTGGAGGTGGCGGGGGACGTGACGTCGGTAGAGGTACCGGGGGGGGGGGGGGAGTGACGCTGATGGAGGAGCCGGAAGCTGGGTTGACGCCGGTGGAGGGGGCGATGGTGTCGCCCCATGGGGGTAGGGCGTGACGACCCCCGCTGACGTGTTGGGGGTGACGCCAGTGGTGGCGGGGGCTGGGGTGATGACGGTGGAGGCAGTGGAGGGTGACGCCTGTGCAGGCGCCAAGGACGGGGGTGACGCCTGTGGAGGTGGCGGGGATGACGCCGGTGGAATTAGAGACGCAGGAGGTGGGGGTAACGCCGGTGGAGGCGCCGGGGGTGGGGGTAACGCCGGTGGAGGCGCCGGGGGTGGGGGTAACGCCGGTGGAGGCGCCGGGGGTGGGAGTGACGCCGGTTGTGGCGGGGTGACGCCGGTAGAGGCGGCGAAGGCAGGGGTGACGCTGTTGCTCTTCGTTTGCTTTACATCTGACCGTTTGAAGTTGTCTGGATAAACATCCTCCAAACTGTTCAATATTTTTAAAAGTTTCGATGAGCCCTGCCGTCATGTTTGCAGTGTCGTTAGCCCTGTGGCCCCTCAACCGTCCCCGGTCTGAGAGATGACTTGGTTTTGAAATTATTTTTGTTGCCCGGCGTTGAACTTTATCCAAAGCAGCTATGTCCTTCTGAAGATGAGGTCTCCATGCTTAGATACAACAATCCAGATGGGGCGCACCAGAGATTGTACAGTTGAATAACTACAGTACCTTCTTTTCCTTGAAGTCAGAGGTTCGTTTGATTATTCCTAGAGTTTGGTTAGCGTTTTTTTTATGGCAGCGTCCATTTGTTGTGCAAATTTCAGTGAATGGTGGCTTCTGACTCCGTCATGTTTTGTTTTCGTCGATCTACTGCAAAGTACTGCTGTTAATTTGGTAGTTGTGACGTGGATTGTTATACCCCACATGCAAGATCTTGCCTTTTTCGATATAAAAATCATTTGCTGGTCTTTGTGCTGATGTGCTGATGCTTAATCCTGGTGTGCTGATGCTTAAGCCTGATGAAAAATCATGTGCTGATGCTTAAGCCAAATAGACATCTAATAGACGTCCTTTGTCTGAATAGCGGATTACTGTTTCCAAAAATGTGAGCAGGTTTGTAAGGCAGGATTTACTTTAAACAAATCTATTTTGGATTGATTTTACTAAATTGTTCACCGTGAGATGGTGAATTTCCTCCCTTAGCTTGTAAATATGTGCATTTTGAGGTCAAGCTGATCGGACAGTAGTTTTCTGAAGAGCTCTTTCTGCTTTTTTTTTTTTAGAATATAGGAGTAACATTTGCATATTTCCAATCTAAGGGAACTATCTTTTGGTCCAGATATTTTCAGAAAAGGAGTTTCAGTGGTAGGCATAGTTCCTCTGGCAGTTCCTTAATAACTTTGGAATGAATTCCGTTCATATCGCTGGGGTTTTGAGTCTCTTAGTTTGTCGATGGAACCAATTGCCGGGTAAGATAACTGACATGAGATCACTGGATTGTTTCAAGAGCATTTCAAGAGATTTATTCTTTATGGATTTATTTCAACAGGGGACATGCAATCCCCGTTGTGTAGTGGTTAAGACACTCGCCTGGCGTTTCGCGAGGGGCTTTGTCCTGGGTTCGTATCCTGGCCGGGGAGGATTTACTGGGCGTCAATCCATAACTGTAGCCTCTGTTTACCCAACAGTAAAATATGTACCTGTTGTTAAACGATTTGGCGGGTCGTATTCCAGGGAACATAGGATTAAGGACTTGGCCGAAACGCTATGCGTGCTACTGGCTGTACAAGAATGTAAGAACTCTTGTATAAATAAAAAATAAACAAATAAAATAGGTTAGACACGTATGTGAATGAGTTTGGATGGATATATAAATAGGCTCTGCTTCGTATGGGACAAAAAGCCTTCTGCAATTGCCTTTATTCTTTGGTTATTATTAAATTGTTGTCCAACCATAGGTTTTATCAGTTTAAGTTTGGAAAATGAGCTCTCGGTGATGATCTTTAAACAGGAAGTGTTGCAGATTATTGAAAGATCCTCTCCACAGCTGGCTTCCTGTGCGTGCTGTAACGCCTGGGATTCACCAGCTGAAAGTTGTCTAATGCAACAAATTAAGATAGGTCTGCTACGCACATAGGTCTAATATACACCAAGTCCAATTATGTACTCTCATAGGCTTACTATGTACTACCATTGCCTATATAGAGTACGCATTGCCATACTTATACTATGCACTATCATAGTCATCTATGCACTATCACATGCCTACTACTAATCAAATCAAATCAAATGTTTATTCAGGTAAAGTACATACATACAAGGTGAGATACAAACATTGAAGGATTTATAGATAGTACATACGATGCCTGAAGCCACTATTACGCACCGCGTTTCTGGTCTTGGTTAGTGAAGTAGAGGGAATCTCCGGCAAAGTTGTGAAGCAAGAGACTATGTATTGCCTAGACTATGAGACTGTATTACTTGATCATGGAGCCGAGCGGACAGCACGCTGGACTTGTGATCCTGTGGTCCTGGGTTCGATCCCAGGCGCCGGCGAGAAACAATGGGCAGAGTTTCTTTCACCCTATGCCCCTGTTACCTAGCAGTAAAATAGGTACCTGGGTGTTAGTCAGCTGTCACGGGCTGCTTCCTGGGGGTGGAGGCCTGGTCGAGGACCGGGCCGCGGGGACACTAAAAAGCCCCGAAATCATCTCAAGATAACCTCAAGATAAGATATTGCCCTCAACATCACTAGAAACGTGCACAAACTCTCGCACAGTTGTATACGTCACCGAGGTGGTCAAATCTCCTAAGAATGATGGTGTGAGCAGTGGCAGGGCAACAGAGGAAGGGTAAAAATATAACATTACCATCTTAGATGAAACTGAAATATGAATATTAATAAAAGTAATTCATCCAACATGTACAATAAAAAGTAGTAACAAAATTATTATAATTTGCCATTTTAAACAGTTCATTGGATTTGTTTCTTGTCTCACGAGCAAAATGATCAGTAACATTGGTGTAAAAGTTTAGTTTGCTCTGATCAACATCATGGGCATGTCTTGATCAAGCTATAATTCTCTAACTGACTTCTAAAATTTTGCCCGAAACGTTATGAGTGTTAGTGACTTTGTAAGAATGTAAAAATTTCACTCTTATGTAATCTCACCAACTCATTGTACCTTCTAGTAAATACAGTATTATTATTATTAATATTATTATTATATCTGACAAATCTTTATCTAAGTATTCCATACATTTTATAATTTGGAAACAAGACATGCCCAACAATACACTCTTTGCATATTTCCAATCTAAGGGAACTATCTTTTTGGTTCCCTGAAAATGCAGTAATAGTGACTGCATTTTCAGTTTGGGAGGTAATATGTCCAAATAAATGCAGGCACGTCACTTCACTTCTGTAGGTCAACTGAATTTCTCAAGGTGAGTGTCTGAGAAATGTTGTCTCTAATGGTGTTGCTGTATTAGATTCAACTATTTGGAACGAAAAGTTCCAAGTAGCACGGGATTTGGTGAGCCCGTAGTGGACTCGTACTTTAATGTTGGATCACTACTGTGTTGATTTAGGCTAGGCCAGGTGTGTAAGCCCCTCTCAGTAATTAACAACAAAATGCCTAGGGCAACGGAACAGGATCTCGTGGCGATCTTGCCAGTATAGGTCGTGTCTGATCTCCAAGTGACCAGAGATCTGTATCATCAGTTATATATGACGTGGCGCTCGTATAGGCGGAGGATCTGTTTATGGGACTGAGTCAGCAAGGGTTTGCAATATAAGAGAGAGGATTTTCTGAAACACCTGCTTGTACTTAACATACGAATTTATTCACTAAAATTAAAACATAACACAATGTATAAACACACTTGGAAATGGGACAATTGTTTGTACTTTACGAAGGGTCATAAGCAAATCTACGCCAGTACTCTCTCTTGGTGACAGTACCCAGCAGTTGTAATGTAATCTAACTTTAAAACTGGTAATAATGACCAGCTCAGCAATATGTCTGCTTAACACCACTGCTTTATGCGAAAGGACATTTCAAAGCTGAAAACTGATTCTCAGGAAATTAAACTGCATGCACAATAAGTATGACTGACATGTGTTAGAAATACAATCACAAACCCATGCACCAACACTCCATGGGACGTTTCGCTCTAAATGGGCTCACCAAACAGGGTCAAGGGCATCCATCAAACTTAATGGGTTGCATTTAAGTGCTACAAAATGTTAATTGTGCATACAAGACAAATACAATTTACGCATTCAACAGGATACACCAACATTCCTCAAACCATCTCAAACCTATATTGTTTGCTGACGATACTACCCTTATCTACTCAAACCTCAACCCACATACACTAAATAATGTTGTGAATAATGAATTAAAAAAAGTCCACTTATGGATGTCAACGAACAAACTAACATTAAACATCGAAAAGACTTACTACATCTTATTTGGAAGCAAATCATCAAATGCAATTCAGCTACAGATAGACAACATTAACATCAGTAATAAAAATGATGGCAAGTTTCTTGGCCTATTCCTAGACAAGAGACTCAACTTCAGCACCCACATTCAACACATAACTAAGAAAGTCTCTAAGACAGTTGGTATACTCTCCAAAATCAGATATTATGTTCCTAACTCTGCTCTCCTCTCACTATATTATGCACTAATCTACCCCTATCTTAATTATGGTATCTGTGCATGGGGGTCTACCACTGCAAACCACCTTAAGCCCATCATCACACAGCAAAAATCTGCTATCAGAATAATAACTAACTCTGCTTTCAGACAACACTCAGCTCCCTTGTTTAAATCTCTAAACTTGCTAAATATTAACTCCCTCCACACATTCTCTTGTGTCAACTACATTTACAAAACCCTGTTCTTAAATACAAACCATGCTCTGAAACTCTCCCTGGACAGATGTAATAGGACCCATTATCACCACACCAGAAATAAATATCTCTTTGATATCCCCAGGGTCAAACTTAATCTGTGTAAACACTCTATGCAAATTAAGGGACCTAGTCTATGGAACTCACTCCCTAGTGAATTGAAAAACTGTAAAACTTTTGCCTTATTTAAAAGCAAAACCAAAAAGTACCTAACTTCATCTATTTAGTTTCCTACACTGAGCTTTAAATTTGCTCTGTACCTAGTGGTACCCAATCTCCTAATTTTTATGTAATATCAAACAACCTTATCATTGTGTTCATTGCTGTCTTCTTTTATGTGCTAGCCATATGCTGTATTGTGACTACCAATTTTTGTCAACTACCATTCAAGCTGTCATTGCAATCAATCTTATATTGTTTCTGCTGTATTGTGCCTACTAATTTGTTGTCAACTACCATTTTAAGCTGTCATTGCAATCAATCATAGCTACCTATGTGCTTTAATATACTGTACCTATAATTTTCTCTCATCTTTTTTTTCATTCCATGTAAT